TATTGATATAAACTTAGGAAATTAGATAGTAATTAGTTTAATGTGCTTTTATAGCTGAAAAGCAAAACCATTAACTTACTTGACTCAGCTTTATTTTTAAATTTCAAAGTTCAATACAAAGGCAGCATTAATGAAGTCCAAAAAATGAATCATTTTTGGCAACACTAGAAATCCAAACTCTCTTGGGGGGAGGGAGGGAGAACGGCGAAAGGCAAGTTCTCATCTTATGGAAATTTGAATACAGAAGAGATAAAGGAAATCTGGAAAATCTGGATATGGTTACATTTTAAGCAGAGAAACCACCAGTACTGACCATATTTCTCTGGTGGTGGGAATTCTATCATAAAAAAAGTGAACTATTGACAAGTACAATCTATTTAGATATCTACAAATAGATCCTATCTACTAGCTAAATACCTGTGTTTTATTTAAGTGCTTACAATACTTACCTTTACTATAAAGACACATTAAGTTGGAAAGAAAAAACACCTTAACGTTTTCAGACATTTTAAACATTTAAATATAAAAACAAGTAGAAGGGCCCTTCCTGGTGGCACAGTGGATTAAAGCACTGAGAAGCTAAGGCCACTTCAGCATGAGTTCGGTCCCCACCCCCAGGTGATCCACATAGCGCAGCAGTCCTCTCCTGACCTGCCTGCTGCTCCCCTCAGCCTTGTACTTCATTGATCTGCCTGTTATGCACCCCACTCTGTCTCTGGTGAGTCCTCTCACCGCCCCTGTACCTCTGGCCTGTACCCCAGCTCTAGATGTATAAATAAATAAATCTTTAAAAAAAAGAAGACAAAAAAAAAAGTAGAAGACTTCATTTAAAAGCTACCTTTGTTTTTCAAGAACAAGGAAAACTAAATAATTTTACTAAACAAAGAGGACCACCATAACTTTTTTTTTTTCAGAGAAAATTATTCCAAAATTTAGAAAATCTGTATAGGACATAAAGACACAGTTGATGACATCTATAAAGGTAATGAAAATGGAAACCAAGTAAAAGTCATATAGGGAAGGGACATGAGATATACTCGAGGCATTAATCTTTGCTGAAATCAGGTAAACAATCATTAAATATCTTTTATTTAATGAACAACATCCAGGGATCCTTAATCTGCTCCCAATATATACTGAATAAAAGCACAGTGTAACAGTACCGAGCCTTCAACAGATAGTACGTAGAAGGGGAAATTATTTGCATATTTTCCAATTTGAAAAGCAAAGTAGTTCCAAATGAAGAAATAATATTAAATTTTCAAGGTTAAGGTTTAGTTCCACTATAATTAAAGAGAACTTCTATTAACAATGGGAAATTTCTTTACTCTCCACATATTTCTTTCTATGCAAAATAATTAGTCCCACTCAGAAAGAAATTAGAAAAAGAATGGAGCATAACTATACCAAATTCCACAACTATAAAATGCATGTCTGTATATGGCAGAAGAGAGTATCCACTTAAAAAAATCCCAAATTAGTCAAAATTTGGGTAAAAAAATAGGATGCTTATTTAGAAAACAATGTGGCAATCTGTTTTATTTTCTTAAAAGTTCCATTTTAAACATTTTTCACATCCTGCAAGACATGCAAATAGGGAATATTCTAAAAATAATTTTTCAGGTGGTATGGACTCCAGTGTTTATTGTACAACTTTAAAAACAAATTAATGATCTTTAACACTTACAATGTCAAATTTCAACATACTTCCTACCTTAACACTGACACTAATTCACAGTGCAGATATTAAATTATAAATTGGAATGTAGCCAAAATATCACTATATTGAAATCATAATTTTAATACCAGCATAATTACAGAATTGCACCCATTAACAAAAAATTTCAGTATCTTTTCAATAAAAGAATAAAAATCAATCTAAAATACAACAGGTATTCAAAAAGCAACATTAGCCTAATGACATTCAAACAACTGACTTTTAAGATTCCAAGTGTAATTTAAACAACCTGACAAACTGTTATTCTCCCTTCCAAAAGGTATACAAGGCATAAACTATAAAAATTTAAAGTAAATTCTTTTATATAATATTTGAAATAAAGTTAATCTATTTCTATTTTTTACAAAACACCTCCACCACAAAATAAGTTAAACTTAATAAACTAAATAATTTATAAGTTGACACATTTATCTCACAATGGCACATATTTACTTTCAAATTCATGAATGACACTATATAATGGTATGCTAAAATAACAAGCTTACCTATTCACTGCTATTAAAATATTCAGGAGATAACTAAGTATTTAAGATGGTCTCAAAAACTATCTTATCGTTTTATATAGAAAAATAAAATATGAAATATGACTCGAAGCTTTCCCAAAAATGTGTAAATATATATGCCACATGTAAGTGTATGTTTTGGGTAGTAAACTATTTATTTCTTCAATTCAAAAACATCAAAACTTCTTTGGCTGCGAAGTAAATTACCTGTCTTGACTCTAACAAATGCATGAAAAGATGCATTGAATTAAATTCCTGAACAAGAAATACTTTAAAGAAATTTATTGTGTCCAAATAATCATTACACATGCACATTAATACATTATTTATTTAATGCCCATAAACATAATTACAATACTGCTGAAAAAGCTTAGTATATGCCACTAAAAGACAATTACACAACTGCATACAGATTTACACACAAGCACAATATTCTACAAAATATATCCTACTCCAAAATGTGAAACTGGTAAAAATAATACCAAGATTTCATCATGATGTGCAAATAAACCTTAAAGTTATTTAGTGGATATTCAATATGTTCAAAAACATTCTCTATACTGTTCATTACCATTATATATACTAATATTTGTATCCCCATCATTGGATGGCCCACACATAATAGGTATCTCTTTGGTATGTTGGATATAAAAAAAGTTATAGTTTATTTTTTCAAAATACATTAAACTAAGTAAGAAAAACATGTTCAAGATAAAATTAAATTATTTTCAAAAGAATTAGCTGTTTTTTAGTCACAAATACAAGATATGTAAGCATTTCAGGCCTCATGATTTAGAGGAAAATAAAAAGGTAGCAAAAATGAAGTGAATGCATAAAAGAATTTTTTAATTATTTCTCTATTTCACTGTGATCATGTACTACACGAAATAGCTGATAAACAAAAGGTATGCCTGTACCATTCCATTCTGGCCCATAAAAATAACTAAATATTGGGCCTTCCTGGTGGCACAACGTGTTAAATCACAGCACTATGAAGCTATAGCAGCCACTGCAGCATGAGTTGGATCCCCAGCCAGGGAGCTGACATGGCGTGGCAGACCTCACCCACCCATTGCTCCCCTCAGCAGTGTCCTTCAGTAGATTGCCTGCTCTGCTCCTTACTCCGTCTCTGGTGAATCCTCTCATCTCCTACACCTCTGGCCTGTATCCCAGTTCTGTAAGCATAAATAACTTAAGAAAACTGAGTATTTGGGCCCTCCCTGGTGGCGCAGCGGGTTAAAGCACTGCACTAAGAAGCTGAAGCCATTTCCGCATGAGTTCGATCCCTGGCTGCCCCGGAGGAGATCCACCTGGTGTGGCAGACCTCTCCTGGCCCGCCCGCTGCTCCCCTAAGCAGTGTACTGCATTGATCTGCCTGTTCTGCTCCCCACTCTGTCTCTGGTGAATCCTCTCACCCTCCGCATCTCTGGCCTGTACCCCAGTTCTGTGTAAATGAATAAATAAATCTTTAAAAAAAAAAAAAGAAAACTGAGTATTTACTCAAAAAATGAGCTGCTGTAAGCAGCACCTGAGTCTTTGTGTCCATGATTAAACTCTATTCAAACACATAAAATTGTTAGTTGACCTTAATAAAAAACTTCACCAATTAGGAGAATTCTGACCTTTAAAACAGAAAAGCCTATCAACTTCAGCAAGATGCAAAACACAGCTAGAGTAACAGCAGGCCCTACTGCATTTACTAATTCAAATTAACTTCTTACAAATTATGACAAAAATAGTACATGTATATTTATTAGGGCCTACTCTTTGGAATATGTGGATGATTAATAGCATTCTTGACAAAAATTATCATAGATTTTTGACACCAGAATCAATCAGAAAAAAATTTTATGTAACCTTCTCACTTTAGAGATGAGAAAATTTTTGCACAGAATAAGTAAGTCACTTGCCTAAGATCACACAGACAGAAAAGTTGGAACTGAAAGTCAGATAGCATTCTCATCATTCAAAATTTCCATCTACTACACCATAGTGTCTTCTTGTTGAAGATTATGTTTATGTGAGCGGGGTGTGAAGGGGAGAGGTCAATACTATATTCTAGGAAGAGTTTGAAAGGTACATAAACACATTATGATATACTGTTTAATATCAATGCTTTTTTCATTCTTCATTGTTACATATGGGTGTCATTTTTTTCCTTCTCCTAGCCATCCACAGTTAAGTAATTCCAACTGGCTATACTGTTTACAACTGAAGCTATTAAGTCTTATTAAAAATAACACTATCACAGTGTCTACTCTTGTTTTATATGTAAAATGTAAAATGAGTTAAAAGTTAAAGTCTAAGTGAGTTTGGACAAAATTGTAAACTGACACTTATCTTCAAGTGATCTCTTAATCTTAAACATGTGACCAATCTGTTTTTTACTATGAAGAGAAAAATTATAGGGCTACCCTATTGGATGGCAATTAAAAACAATATTGAAGAGATATTTCCTGTCACCAACTTATTGAAATACATCCATCAAAAAAAAAACAACCTGTCAAAATTTAAATATTCTCAAAATATTATCAGTTTATCTAGACACAAAAGTGAGTGTTATAGTTATACACAAGTATGTTACTTATACTTAGGAATTCTGTATTTTAGCACATTTCCTGACCTTCCTTACAAACTTCTAGGAAGTAATGGTCTCTCTAAAATAGGCACACCTTGTTTTACAACCTGCTTGCTGTTCTACTGCTGGTACTTATGCCCACACCTAAAATGTGTTATAAGCCTTACAGATGGAATCATACCTATTCTCAGGATCATTGTCGTCTTCATCATCATCCACTGTGACAGGTACTGATTTAGATAAGGCTTCATCTCCTTGGGGAGGGGGGGGCAAAAAGTGCACTTAAAATTAGCTTTAAAATGTCTACATAAGTAAAACCATGTAAAATAAAAGTAAAAGCCAAAAACTTTAAAATAACTAGTGGGTTCTAAATTACACTATGGAATCCAAAATATGAGTAAAAAGAATTTACAAGGAAAGCATAATGGAGAGGTTGAAGAAGTGCTAGCTATAAATACTTCGATCTTAGTTATTTTAACTTCTTCCCAGAACATACCAATTTTAAAATTCCTTCTTCCCACTAATAATTCTTTATCATAAGCATCATGTTAACATAAGTTTCTTTCTAAGTTCTGTAATGATAACTTTTAAGCTAAAAGCTAACAGATATCTAATTTACCTTGTATCAATGAAAACAGCAAAATTGCAATTAATATTTTGATAGTACTAAGTAATTTCAAAATATACTTAAATTTGTATGGCATTAATGAGTAGTAGTACCCAGAGATATACTGAAAAACAGCTAAGTCTTAAACATTGAACTTTAATACAATACATGCTTATGTATTTAGAAAGAAGTATGCTTACGTTTACTATACTATGAAATGCATCAGAGACTTCAGAGGAAAAAAAATCAATCTCAAAAGGTTACATACTTCATGATTACATCTCAAAATGACAAAATTACAGAGATGAAAAACAGATCAACAGCCACCATAGGTTAAGAATGAGGATGACAAAAGGTGTGCATGAAAAGGTAATGCAAAAGAACCTTCTGGCAATGAAACAGTTTGTTATCTTGACTGTGGTAGTTGTTATACAAAAAAGTACACATGAAACAATTACATAGAATTATACTTGCACATACACATATACACACCAATGAATACATGTGAACTGGTAAAATCTGAGTAAATCTTTGGTTTCCTGGTTTTGACACTGCACTATAGTTACTCAAGACATTACCACTGGGGGAAACTGAATGAAGGATATCCAAGAATTCCCTGTACTTTTTTTTCTTGAAGCTTCCTGTGAATCTGTAATTATTTCCAAATGAACAGTTAAGGCAAGAAAAAGCTAGGCTAGGTTTAATGCATAGGATATGTGTATATAGTTATGTGATCAAACAGTACAATGTTAATTGCAAGAACTTTTGTGCACATTTAAATTTTTCATAATAAAATATTAGAGGAAAATGTTAAAAAAATACATGAAGAATACAGGTATTTGCAGGTTCAGTGTACAAATATACTAAACACAGAAAGACAAAAATAAATCTCACAATATCCCAGCAAACAGTTAAATACAGTTGACCCATGAACAATATTCAGAACTAGGAGAGTTGTCCCCTTTGGCAGTTGAAAATTCAGGTATTAACTTTTGACTCCCCAAAATCCTAACTACTAAGATTCTGCTGTTGACCAGCAATCTTAGCAATAAAGTAGACAATCAATGAACTTATACTGTGCATACATATCATATACTGCTTTCTTACAATGAAGAAAGCGAAAGAAAAGATTACAGTAAATCTCAGAAACACTTTCCAATATTTATTTTTCAATAACCCACATATAAGTGGACCCAGGCAATTCAAACTCTTGTTGTTCAAGGGTCAAATATACCTCATTTAAACAGACCAATCTTCAAATGAAATATTTTAGTAATATTACTGATATGCTTCACTACCCCTTTCAAGAATTTGACCCAATCTTTAAAACTGAGTTGAAATGCTACCTCTTAGGTCTTCCTTCAAATAGTTAAATAACCCACTTGCTACACCCAATTTCTAGGATCATGCTGGGGCCCACATTAGAACACCCAAATATTGCTAACTAAATTGGAATTCTCTAAACTCATGGGAGGTAGGGAAGCTTCGTAAGTAGTTCATCTAAACTGAAATCTAAATTAATTGCACATATTAGGGGGATAAATAAGCTCAGCAAGCAAGCAAATGCTTCAAGAATACCATTGATCACTCACTGGCTTATATCCAAACTTATCCTGGGGAGTGGGGAAGACTTTTCACTTAGGGCTTATTTTGAAAGTCTTTCATATTCTTTCTGCTCAAGTATTTTTATTGATAAAGTCCAATTTTTAGACATGTGACTTTGCCTACCAAATTTATCTTCATTTTTTAAATCTAGACAGTATTGCAGCTCTTCTGCCCATGACCATGCTGAAGTTCCTTTTCACAACCTTTTCCCTTTGCAAAACAGAACAGCAGCTCACCTGCCCACCTGTGACTATGTACAGGAGCCTCTTTTTTCTTTCTCCTTTTCCTAATGAACCCTTTTAAATATAAATAAAACAAACAATACTGAGAAATATTCAGAATAATGAAAATCCAAACAAGGTTTCCCAAAATAAATGAGGGATTGACATTCAATGAAAACTCGAACTCTCAATACTTCTTTGAATATATACCTGAGAAATGTTCATGTTGTAATAAGCCCACTGGTTCTAATCAGCCCACTAGTCCTTCAGGACATTAAGTCAAAATGAAACACAGTATTAGACTACTGCTAGGCTAAGGGATTATTGGGACATTCGGCCTCAGAATATTTGCCATATGTTGCCATCTCTTAAGATCTAATGAATGCTATTACTTATTAGAATACTAGGTATTAAAAGTTTCTATCATAGGAGATACATTATTGAAACCCTCACATATGTCAAATTAAGTGAGATTTTAGGGAAATGAAAATGGTGATTTCACTGGGAAAGCTAATTAATCATAGAAACCAATTTTCCACAATTTAAGAATAGTTTAATTTAATCAAACCTACAGTTTGATAAAGTGAACATTCTATGTAACTAATCACCATATATTCTTGTACTTTAATCCTTAGTAGCATTTTTCTCAACACGGTAACAAAAATACTGGTTGGAAATCAATGTAACTATTAGATTCTGTGTTCTGAATGCCATTCCACAATTTTATACAATCCTGAAATTCAGAACAACTTAAAAAGTATTTGTGAGGTGTTGGAATGGTTTATCTGGCAACAAAACAATCTGTACTTTGTAAACATTCATGTTTTGCTGCACAAATGGGACGATTAAAATATATGGAAACTACTCCACATTTTTTTTAATCAAGAAGTCAAAATTTCTAAAGTATATCAGGCCCCAAGAATTTCAGGACTAGAATGCAGAATTATAGTTATAACAGTCATACAGGTAGCTCTCCAGCTAGGCACATGAAAGTGAGTATATCATGCATAATCACACCCAATTTTAAAACCAATTTAAGATAATCACTCCATTAAGGAATTTAAAGTTTTATTAAAGGACAAAATTCAAGTAAACACCTCTAAAACTCTATTGGAATAAATGGAAAATCCTAACATAAGGAACGAAAGGAAAGTTGTAAACATTCTTCCTGTGCTGGGAACAGTTACATGTGAAATGTACTTTTATAAATTTTCTCAAATAAATTTCAAGTGCCCCTGGTTAACTGACTCATTAAAAATAATGACAATACACTGACAAGTCTGTTTATTATACAACTAATTTCTTTTAAAAACTGCAATAATAATAAACACTGTTTATGTCATGGGGCAGGGGATGGGTTTTCACTGACAAGTTGAACAAAATCCTATTTGTCCTAGTGCTCTAATCACATCACAGTAAGGTAATCCAGGTACTTCTTGTTTTTTTTTTCTTTATTTTGTTAGTGTTAATAACAGGAACATCTATTCACGTCATTAGGAACTGATAAGCAGCAGTAAAGTGTTTCAAAGAATTAAATTTAAATTTTTCAGAGGATTTCATGGGATACAATGCTAATCTGTACAATTTTAAAAACCATATGCATAGTAAATCAGCAGTTAAAACTCTCACACATCATGTTATACTGGTTCAAAGTACTCATTTTCGTTAACATGAATAAACACCTAGTAAAACTATAGGCACCAATCTGCTTTTCCCTCATAAGCTACTGTCCATTACTACAGAAAAAAGTATTAAATATTGATTCTTTTATTGTTATTTGCCCAACAAACTTCAAATACTAACAATTTTTCAAGTACTTCCAATGATGATGGCATAAAAATGGAGAAAGGCTGAAGTAAATCTCTAAAGAATTTAAAACAGTCTTTTCCTTAACAGTTACCTTGCATTTGATTGGCTTATTGAAAAATGAAGCAATGTAGTTATTAACGAGAGGGAAAAATACAAATGACACATTTTTAATTTTTTGCATACCTGAGGATTGGCAAAATCCAGCATGTGAAGACAGCACTAAATTTTCTGTCACTGGCTTAATTTTCTGTTCATCACTGCTCCCCTCGCCTAAAGAATTCTGTTCATCATCTACTATATCAGAAGAAGATGAGGAAGTAATTTCAACTTGTTTCCTTTTAGTGCTTTTTCTTAGGGAGTTTCTTATTTTTTCTTTAACATTGCCTGCCCTTTTTTTAGCTGCAGTTCGTTGTTTTTTCAGCTTTTTATTATCTTCAGAACTTTCCTCAGCATCAGAAGATGAGGAGCCACACAGTGCCTCCTTGGTATTTCTCTTTGAATTTAAATTTCTTCTTTCCCGCAATTCAATTCTTTTCAGTCTCTTCTCAGAAGAATTACAGCCATCTTCTTTCATGGAATATTTCTCAGTATCAGATGATGAACAATCTTGTCTCTTTCTTAAACTCTTATCAGGCAAGTTGCTCCTCTTTTTGTCTCTACCAGACGCACCATTCTTACTCCTTTTATCTTCTGAAGACTCACAACTATCTCTTTTCCATGGTATTTTCTCAGCATTATCAGATAATTCATCCTTCTTTTTAGAAATTTTATGTTTCATTTTTTTACTTTTCTTTTCCCCATCAGCTGAGTCATTCTTATGTTGTTTGATGCCTTTAGGAAAACGACAAATTTCTTCTCCATCAGGTAATTTCTCAGTGCTATCAGACGATGATTCATACTGCTGTTCCATCTTAGTTACTTTTTTCTTCAAGTCTGTGATTTTCTTTTCTTTTTCTTCATGTCCCATTTTGCTCTGCTTTTGATCATCTTCAGAGGATTCATCGCTTTCCTCTTTCTTTAGGAATTTCTCAGCAACATCAGATAAGCCACCCTGTACTTTCTTACATGGTTTGGTTTTCAGATTTTTCAGATGCTTACTCTTTTCCTTAGTTCCATAAGCCTTTTTGTCTTCTGAAGAATTGATACTCTCCTCTTTCCCAGAAGATGACTTATCAGCACTATCAGACGAAACACCTGGCTGCTGCTTCTTACAGAGTCTATCTCGTAACTCCATGAAAGTCTTGTCTTTTTCAACTGTCCCTTCTATGGAAGAGAAATTCTCTCTCTCTTGTTTCCTTTCAGCATCATCGGATGATCCTTCTTGAGCAATTTTCAAATTTCTCTGCCCTTCATTATCCACTCTTTTTTTGCTCTGTTTTTCATCTTCAGAAGAATCATAATCATTTTTGTGTGGAACTCTTTTTCTGGTTGTTTTGGCAGCCCCAATTTTACTCATGCTTTTAATCTCTTTTTCCAATTCTGAGTCATAATTAGAAGATTCAGACAGGTTTTGTCGTTTCTTTTTAGAAACTACAGACCTTTTAACTGATTTACCTTTTTTAATATCGAAGTCTGAGCCAGAAGTAGAACTTTTTCGTTTCCTTTTCCCTTTATCATCTTTTCCTGTCTGAGTTTTCAAATCAAACAAAGTTTTCTCATGATTTGTATGAGTGTCATTAATATCAGTATCTGAAGAAGAACTATGACTCATTCTTGATACCTCTTTGAGGATTGCAAGCATTTCATCAAAATCTGAATTTTGATCCACAATCTCTGACTGTTTAGATTTAGGCAGTTTATTGGGTTTAGGATTATCTATAGCACTATCAGAAGAATTCCGCTTATCCTTTTTTCTCACTGGAGCTGATAGTTTCTGTTTCTCCTTAACTGTTTCATTACTTTCTTCATCTGAATTAGATGTTGCAGGGTTGGTTTCTGTTGCTCTCCTCAATGGTGTAGTCTTTACACGTGGGGATCTCCGAAGATCAGATTCCTCTGAAAGTAATGGAATGTCATCCTCAACCAAAAGTTCATTATCGCTTTTTTCTTGTGCACAGTTCTCTGACTTGGGATTTAGTCCAGAACTTTTATAGCTCTCTTTATCTTGTGGAACATCCTGACAATCAACTCCTTTAATTGGGGAATTAGAAAGGGAAACAGGGGTGAGTTTAACATATAATTCTTTTGTTACCTTAGCTGCACTTTTTGATTTAATACCTCCCCTGTTATCTTTTGAAGAAATGTTTAATTTTACAGAATTCTCCAGTTCTTGCTCAGTTCCACTGTTGCCATCTCCCTGATAATCAACTGAACTCTGAACTTCCATTGCAGTTTCAAGATTCTCAAAAATGTCTTCTGGAACTGAGGATGGAACTGACACAATATCCATGTCTAAGTCTTCAGAAGTATTAGCAGGTTCATACTGAGGTTCCTCTTTTTTATCAGATTTCTTATGTTCACCACTAGTGCTTTTATTTGCTCTCTGTTCCTCTGCTACGTTTTGATCCATGTGCTCACTATCTACCTGCTTTCTTGACAGTTTAGCTTCTAACTTTGAAATATCCTTCCGCTCCAAAGCACAGGATTTTTCTCCTTTTCGAACTTTTGTTTCAGACTTAATATCCATGACTTTATGCTCTTTGGTATTTTTCTCTTTGTTTACAGCATCCAAAGCTCGGATCTCAGAATTTAAATCTTCTTCTAATGCAAGGTGAGCTTTCTTTATATCAGCCAACACAGATTTAAAAGCCTTAAGCTGACGTAACTTTGTAGCAGAATTGATTTCTGAATTATCTGTTGCCTGCTTCAGAAACTTAACATAACTGGAGTTCATGTTGGTAGTGGTCTCAATCAGTTTTTTTGCCTTCTTAATCATCTCCTTAGGCACAATTAGTGCTGCATAAGAGTAGGTTACAGAACCAGAACATGTATCTTCTAATTTCTTTTCTTCTCCATTACAATTTGAACTATTTTTCTTTGGAGAAAATCTGGGTGTGTGGTCATAGACCTTATTACTCTTTTCACTATCAACTTTTATTTTCTTCTTATTTTGTTGCAACAACTGTTCTAAATTTTCAAATACACTGTTACATGCAGTGACCAAGTCCAACAAAGGCTCCGGGTGACATATGTAGCAATACCATTGGTTGTTTTCATCCATTATTGTAGACAGCTCCTTGCGACCAAGATTGCGCAAAATGCATTTCTTACAGAAGGCATTGTGGCAAAAGTCACAACAAATCAAGTTTCCACCTTCTGCACACCATCTGAAATTATTTAAAGATTAAAACATTACTCCCAAATGGAACTTAACTGAAATCTTTTCATTAATAAAGCGCGTTAAGTTTTCCTGCCACTAATTTTTTTTTTGAAGACTTATTGATTTATGCAAGGCAAGAGTTGCAGTGGCGGTGAGAGGATTCACCTGAGACAGAGCGGGTAGCAGAACAGGCCAACTGATGACATACACTACTGAGGGAAGCAACGGGTGGGTCAGGAGAGGTCTGCCGCACCGTCTGCCGCACCATGTGGTCACCTCTGGGGCAGATATCGAACTCATGCTAAAGTGGCTTTAGCTTCTTAGTGCTGTGCTTTAACCCGCTGCACCACCAGGGAGAACCCATCTGCCACTAATTTTAATAGGAACTTAAGTCATCTGCTTATTCTTCATATTAAGCTTAAAGCAGATATATAGTTAAAGATTTCTGGCAGCTAAGGAAAACATTTCATTAATAATATAAATGGTGACACTAACTAAAACGCAGATCTAATGAGAGACTACATAAGAATGCCCCCCTCAGATAACACTAAATTTTAGTTCACCTTGATTAATTACCTACCTACATTGTTCATCCATTCCATCTGAGTCACGGCTAATATCATCACTCATGTAATATTTAAAGCAATTCTGTTGAAAGAAAGGAGATATTTTATTCAAAAACTGGTAACATTCATAAGAGGCTAAGACTTTTATTTAATATCATTTTTAAAAGTGAGGAATGTATGTGTATGTGTATAGTTGTGTTTTTGAGAATCATAGCAGATGTCTACCTAATATAACTTTTCATGCATAAGAATATCTCAGGAAGTTAACTCCTTAAAATAGATTTCCATATCAAACACCAGTCACTAGTAGTTATATAAAAATATTCTGATAAAGCAAATTTCTGATCACATACAACTATTAAAGGACTATTATTCCTACTACTTAATAGTAGTCATAATCACTTCTTGGCTAAGATCAAGTATAACAGTTGTCATATATAAATCGCTACTATAGATACCCGAGAAACATTATGCTGTATTAACTTACATTATCTTTGAATTTGATATGTGTACTATGCAAGATAGGAGAGGTAAGCCAAATTTGAGGAGAAAGGCTAAGGTATGCTTGAACATGTAAATAAAATCTCCTAAGCTCATATAACTAATAAGACACAAAGCTGACATTCGATTCTAAATATGACTCACTTTAAAGTCATTTTCACCAGGACTTGAGAAAAGGAGAGTTCTATGCCAACTGATAAAAAATACTGATTAGTGCAATGGGGTTAGCTCAAAATGCTGACCCTTGGATAAAGAATGACCATATATTTAAAAGAGAAACAAGGCACATCATATATCCAGCAATATGAAATTCAGCTGTCAAACTTTAAAACTGAAAACTACAACATACACCCTACATAAGACCCATGGCTGAACTAAAATGAAGGGAAGGAGAGACACTTATTTCTAAAGGAGGAAGTAAACTTTAATACATTCAAGTAGGTCTAAAAGCTATCAAAAAAAATCAAAGATAAAGAACTAGAACCTGAGTAAAGTCTAGTCTGTCTATGCATTTTAAGGAGCCAATTTATTACAAACAAACTAAAACAAAATTAATCTTAATAGTAATATATGAGTTAGAGAAACCAAACTTTGACATATTTAAAATCATCTCCAAGTTAGTATTAATAAAGTATACAAAGACTGTTAAGACTACCTTTAACAAATATGAACATTTTTAATTCTCCTATCTCCAAGTTATGTCAAACCCTGGCTCCCACTGAAAGAGTTTTGATTGTGGAGTTAGGGTACCAAAGAGAGAAGGTTATAAATTATACATATACACACACAGATAAACTTCAGCTTGTCTAATATGCAATGCTCTCCCTTATCTACTAGACTTTGAATATCAGATTCTCATTGCCTAGAACATGCTGAGCCAATTCTCCATTGTAATGTTCCCCACTACTCTCAGTCACACAGGTTTCTGTTCTGGTAGCACACAGTACCTCCATTATGGTACTTACAGGGCTCATGAATATGCCTGTCTTCCCATAAGCCCTACAGGGGCAGAGACAACTTCCATCTTCTTCATCACTTTGCACCAAAACCCAGACATGTGATAAGTATTCAAATATTTGTGGAATGAATTATCAATGGATAATTACATACCTTACAAATAAGTACTTGCAGTGAAGGGTGTCTATAAATGGAATCTTTTTGAAAATGATTGACCTGTTGTCCACAAGCTGTACAGCTCACAATCCCATGAAGCCCATCTTCTAGGAGAAAGGAGTTACCATTATTCACACATAAAGATATTCACTTGAGTTAACATTTGCAACTTTTGTATTAGAAATTAAATACTTCATAATCCTTGGAAAAATAAGATTCTGTACATAGTTAGAAAGGTTAACGTTTTTATGAACTTTTAAAAAATATGACAACAATATCAAATACCAGACCTACAAACACTACTTTCTTTTATAAATACAAGCCCTATCTCTAAAAACAGCTTGATAAACCATAAAGAGATCCCATAAAAGACATTATAAAAATAGAGGCCAAGAGCTCTTTTTTATTTTCCTAATGCTCTGCAACCAAAATTAGTACTGGTCCTTAAACACTTGGGAAAAAATGACATATATGGAATAAACTGTTTTGCAACCTTCTGTTTGTCGTTTAGCATATCACAGTTTTTAATTCTCAAAATGGAATTGTCTGCACAGATGCTTTCAATACCATATATGAAAACCCTGCAATTTTGTATTAACAATTTCATCCCTAAAATTTACTTCAACACTATTCAAAATCTCCATGAAACCATGTTTCTACATATAATCTATTGTAAACTCCATATCATCACGGTCTAATTCTTCCAAATAAGGACAAATAAGACTTGTAGATGTATCAATTCTGGCAGCAAAACCTCAGAATGGAGGAAGTGGAAAGGCAAAGCCTCATTCCACATTATCTACAGGAAAAAAGATTGAAGATATTCTATTCAAGTTAAGAGGAAACCTCTCCTACTTTACTCATCACTATTTCTGCTTAGAGCAGTCAATGCATCACAATCGAAGATTGAGCATTACAGATATCTGAACAATATTTTCAAAAGCAAAGACAGACATTTTTACCCTAAACCATTGAATGGGAATATCCTAGATGTATTTTTTGAAGTTTTATAAATCATTCTGATGTATAAACAAGACTTTGATCAAAATAAGATGGTATATTATAATTCAAAAGAGGTCAGTGGAGGGGGGATGGAAACCCTGTTCCTAAACCTAAATAGAAGAGAAAACATAACTATGTTTCTCACCTTTTAAACTTAATATATTTTTTCTTAGTTTTAAGGTCCAAAGTACCATGAACCCAAACTTTTATCATAAATATTTAACTTCTGCAAATAAAAGTAGGTTTATCCAAGTTTTAAGAGCAACATTATACTTTTCCAGAAAATATGGAGAATTTGAAGGCTGACTATATATAAGGTGCTAATATTTTATTTTAAATCATACTGTCCTACATTAGTATTTGATCTTGGGTATTCAAATATTCTGCATTTGTCTTAACAGAAATAAACACAAAATATGTTTTTCAATTCAAATGTTGACTACATTCAGATAAACTGGCAAGAATTAAAATGTTCATCCATTGTTAGATAATATCTATTAAGTATTCAATAAAGCATCCTACATACTTTTGCACACATATCGCTTAAGAATTAACCAAAGCTAGTTAATCTTTTGGAGAGATTTTCCCACATGTTAAGAAGAGGTTGTATAGAGATATTCTCTGCAGCACAAATGATTTAGAAAACAAAATCATGGAAAAAAATCTCATATTTGGGGAATGAATACAGGTTTACAAAAGAATTCCATATAACAATGAAAAACAAGAAAATAGATGCACAGTAGCTATTTCAAAAACAAGTTTGAATGAGAAATGTTGCAAAAGGATGCATGCATACAGTACTACTTTTGTATTTTTAAATGAAAAATAAATGCATTATGAATGAATTCAATATAGAAACCCATGCATGGAAATCACACACACACATAATCCAAATGATACAAACATCAGGATAATCATTACCTGAGAGGTGGGAGGAAGGAGAAATGAAGAGGACTGAACAATAATTTTATTTTGAAATCTGTTGTACTTTAAAATCATGAAATATTATTCTATGTTTGTTTGTATATGTGTATGTTTTTTTTTGTTTTTTTTTTTTTTAAGATATATTTATTTATTTGGACAGAACTGGAGTACAGGCCAGAGATGCGGAGGGTGAGAGGATTCACCAGAGACAGAGCGGGGAGCAGAACAGGCAGATGGACGAAGTACACTGCTGAGGGGAGCAGCGGGCGGGTCAGGAGAGGTCTGCCTCGCCATGTGGTCGCCTCCGGGGCAGGCGGGGATCGAACTAGTGGCTTTAGTTTGTTAGTGCAGTGCTTTAACCCACTGCGCCATCAGGGAGGGCCGTATATGTGTATGTTTTTAAATTTTCATTTTTAATTGTGAAGTTTCATTGATTGTAATACAATGTGTAAATAGAAAAGAGGTCTTTTGTGTCTGAAATTAATACATATTAATAGTTTTAAAGAGAATAAATTATTGTGGCATATAGAAAAGTTGGGTATAAAATTTAGTGTACAACGATAAAAATAGGAAATGGAAAACAAAATAGATTATGGTATTTTAAACAGTGGCTCCAAAGGTGTTCAAATTAGATATATCTTTGTGCTTTAATTTTGTTTCAAATTATTAAGATTATTTTGGGTATATATCAAATTTACCTTGATATTTTCTAAATTATTTAGACTTCAATGTTACAACTATCTTGAATATTAACTAGCAAATTATTATCTCAAATCACTAGTTTACTCATACATGTGTATATAACTAGACATAATTAAATTTCTTGCATGATTTCCAACAACAAAAGATATAACAAATCATTAAGACAAAAACTAACATGAAGATTCAAGTGCTACTATATGGTTATAAACATAAATAATATGATATAAACATTCTTACAATGAACACTCAATAAAATGTTCCAGAAACATATCAACTCACACCAAAGACCAGCAGTACAGCAAGGTGGCACTTCTAGGAACACCCGCCCCAACTATGACTTTTACACTTCCTTCAGTCTTTATCCACATTCCAGGCACTGACTCCCTCCCCAAAAGACACCATTAAGTTATTAATTTTTGACACATTTGCAGTATACTTTAGTCACCTATACTAGAGGACACTTGATCAGAGGAAACAAAACACTTACTAATAATCCTTACCATTACCTCTTACATGATGACTCTCTTATGTTTAAGAATATGACTCAATATTAATGAGCTTTGCCTGCTACAGTGGCAATTTCCCTACTGTGAACTAGGTTTTCAATATGTCTTCCTTATGTTTGAAAGGATAGACCAATCTCTTGTAGACCTATGACTAAACATTTCCTTGATTTTTTCCAACAACTTAAGGAATTATTTAATCTAGAATGATGTATATAACATTTTACAAATATAAATACAATTTCTTCTTTTATCAAGATTATAATATAGCACTGAAATATAAATCCACAAAATTTTACCAATAAGAACTGTGCTATAATTTCACAATTATCATGATGAATTAAACAGACATGCTTCCAATATACTTATTAGAAATACAGTGTTATGTTTTATCTTCTAGAGATTCATGGACTCTGGCTCTATTAATCTGCCAAAAAATACATATAGGCACTATTATAAAATCACATGCAAACACACATTCATTATCATAAATCTCTAACTGAATCCTCCTTAAAATATTCTAAGATGGTTAGCCAGTATGGTTGTATGTGTAAGTGAGGGTGGACAGACAAAGGGAGAGGCAGCTCAGAAAGATGGAGGGAAATTATGACTAACTTCTTCCTGATCATATCTACATTGCTATGCTTAGATAATAGATCTCCAATTTTAATGTATGTAAGAACTGGGGCATTTTCTTGATGTCATCCCCCAACATTCTCATTGAGAATGGAGTCAAGGGACTTGCTAATTTAATAAGCACATCAGGTAACACTAATTCAGATGTTCATCACTCTGTGAAACAATGTTGTAGATACAAAGAAATTTACCTGAAGGCAATAGGCAAGATTTTTCTCCAAATTTGGGGGTGAGAGGAACACATGGTATTCTAGCATATAGGCATTACAAAACTTACATATGAAAGAAAAGATATGCTAAGCTTCTTTGAATAACATAATAGCCACTGAAGGCAAAGGTGTTTGGATAAACGGTGTTTAACCTTTTCTGCTTCAGAGCTCAGAGAGAAACAGAAGTTATTTTTAAGTAGTGCTTTTAATAAACAATGGGCAAAAAAGTGGAGGTATTTTTAGTAAGCACATCAGATTTTCCAATATGGTCATAAACAGCAATTGAAACTCATGTTTTCATTTTCACTTGTATTTACCTCCGCGTTTTTTGAGACTTTCAGTTTTCATTTTACTTCTGCTTCTAAATTCAGGCCCTTTAAAATCATCTTTGTCTTCATTCAGCACTGGCTCTGGTTGTACAATCACTGTACCTAGAATGATTTCATTTAAAAAACCATTACACATATTAAATGTGCAAGTGAAGTACAAGACTTCAGTTCAGATAAAGCCAACATTGCTGGTACATAGTTTTGTTTCTTTCAAGCTTTCAATACTTGTAATAAAGACCTCCCAAGAGTAAATAAATCATGGAAATAATAAAAGGGCCAGGTGTCAACAATCAGATTACTTTGTTAGAATATAGTTCATAAAAAAGGGGAGGTATTATAAACTGGTAACAGAAATATGTGAATAAAGTAGAAAGCCTCAGCCCAGTTCTGAATTTTTATAGTGCCTATCACAAAACTGTTTTGAATATGAATATCCATGCTAAGTTCCATGAGGAGTTCATAAATTAAAAGGACAGGAAAGAAAAAAACTTTTAAGGATGAACTATTCTTCTCATAATTCAAATAACAAACTCAGAAAAAGATTTTTAAGGATTGTTTTACTGTTGTGGGGGAATATGGGAGGGAGACAATGAAAAATTCATTCTGCTACTACTGCTATACCCATTCTGCAGCATCGCCCGTCTTGTATGTCAAAGCTTCAAAACTCTGTTAAGTCTTTAAAGAGTTGTAAACAGATGACTGACCCAGGTTCAAGCATTCTAACAGTAAACTATAGAAGATCAATTGTTGTTCCCTAAAAGTATTTAAAATTATTGTATGTTCAAATCTATGAAATATGTGAACTGAGGATGAATGGTAAATTTTTAATTTTTGATTATGATTTCTCAAAAGCAAATAAAATAGCTACATGGCAAAAAGGGTCCAGGTCTCATATATACTTACATTACTGGGCTTAGTAACTGGGCATTATGGGCAACAATGAAGAACCTGGTAGAGGTCAGGGGCTACTGCCAGGCAACAAAGCCCTATGTAATAAGCAAGCTGATTTTGACAAAGTATGGCACTTAAATAAATGAATTCCTGAGTGTCTAAAAGGGGGGAGTTGAGGTGGGGAAGGCACAGAGGATTAAGCTTTTACAAACTGGTAAATTTAAATAATCTGCACCAAAAAATGTTTTACTTATGACAAATATTTGGTGTAAGTACTCTCAGAGGAACCCTAACATTTGAAAGGAGCTAAAGATTTAAAAGATTGTTTTTTTAGTTACTTCTGAATATTCTTCTCTATATGGAAGTGAAGCAGCACAGCACTGACTAGCTTTGGATTGAGGCAGACAAGAGATCAATCTTAGTTTCTCAATTTAAAGCTAAAAAAGGTAACTGAGCTCTGAATTTGTTCCTTCATCTCTATAAGTAGAAGCAACAACTAACTTACAATATTGTTTTGAGGATTAAATGAGATAATATTTTTTAAAAGTCTGATAGCTACGTACACCTAATAAGGTATTATAACAATTCATTGTAATGACCCAGATTTAACATTGAAAAAAAAAGTTTTATTTTTGGTTTGACTGGAGAGAATTATGCTTAGTTCAGGTCAACATTCCATAGTTTCTTCACAGTATCATTAAAAGAAGGATTTGAATTCCTAGTTCTTAGCTTACTCAGTGGGCATCATAAGGACTTCCAGTGACAACCGCTGAGAACGTTAACAATCCAAAGTGAGTCACTCTGTATGGGACTCAAGACTCCCATGTAAGTAAGCTGCTTCTGCCTTTGGCCACCAAAACCATTACATGAAATTTTCATAGATGATTTACAAAGTCAAGAAAATAGTAGATCTATAAACTTTTCTTCTATCTCTCTTCTTTCTTTCCTTCATTCTTTTTCTTCATTTCATTTCTCACCATTGAACTCCTAATTGATCCAGGTAAAAGCAATGTCTTTATCTTCATATCCACCATTTTTTAATCTTCCATAATCAAAAAATGTGTCACAAAAAACAATTATACACATAGAATAAAATTTAATAAACACTGCTGTAAATGGCTGTCAGTATAAATTTGAAAAATCTGGTAGGAGTCTTAAACATTGAACTTAGTAAAAGAAAAGAGATTTAAATTTTTGATTCTGGAACACTGTAAAATTACAAGTCCTCTGTAATCGTTCATCATGTATTCATACTGTTCTCAGACATGGGCTATGAAAAGTCCACAATTTTTGTTTGGCTTCCCCTCAATCTAATTAGTGAAGTTCTAAGGTGAGAGCTGCAACAACTGAGAGGTGTGTGACAAGGCTTTTTAAAGAAATAATTATAAGAAAATCACCTAAATCTATCTACTATAGTTTACTATACCCTTGAGCAACAGGGAATTTAAAATTCAGTAAGGCAAACTAGGCTTTAAATATTTTTTAAACTTTTCTGAACATTTTTTTCTATAAATAAAATACTTTAAAATTTACTGTGTAAAAAATTATTAGATTTTTAAACCAATTTCCATATTTAGGCATGATTTGGGAACTGAAGTCCTTTTTCAAAAATCCAACATAAACAAAAAGTAAGTTTTGATCATTTAAAAGCTGACTGACTATTCTAAATATTAACCTCAAAAACACATTATCACTTATGCTAATATATTGTTAGTCTATCACAACTAAAGTGAAATGATTGGTCTTCTGCACACAGCTAATACTAATCAACTTTCAATTTTGTAATAACAACATAAACTACATTTCAACTTCATATGAAAAATACACATTACCTTTTGGCAAGCTTTGCATAGTAATATCATTTTCTGAATTTTCATTAGAAGCATCGTCATTTACAGTTTCATCCAAAGGTTTTTCATCATCTGACTCTACATACTTTGTTACAATTGAAGGTTTCCTATTAAAGAATTAAATCCACAGAATTATGGGCACTCTTGTAATTGGAACAGCAACCAAAGAACATATTGTGTTCAGATTTAGCAGTAGCTCCTAAGCAGGTATGTAAGCTAGAATCAACTAGAGAAGTATACATGCCTGTAAGTATACTGTTGAAAAATGTGCTTGAGTTGGATTGAGATAAGACCAGGACACCTATATACTGAAAAACCTAGCAGGGGGATTGTAAAGGAAAATCCTCTTTAAGAATCATTAACTTAGAGAATAATTCAGTAACAAGTAAGCTATTTATTAAGCTTAATTTATTAATAAGCAAGCAATTTAAGATGATTAGAAACAAAAGTCTAATAGGATAAGCTACAAAATTACAGTAAAACTATACTTAATAGTATAGTATATATTATAATATGCTCAAAAGTAGTTTCAGTTCTTATATGCAATTCACATTGAAAATTAACAGATAACAGTATTGTTATCATTTATTAACCTCCTCCTAACTTCATATTATTTATGGCAACCAATCCCCATCCTAGACAATTAAAAATGACCCTTAAAAACCCATGTTATCTCATTAGGCATTCAGGGTTTCATTGGCATTCAGGGTTTCATTTCCCTTTTTCTCCTTTTTGAAAAGTACATACATACATGATCTAAAAAAATGATCTTCACTATTACAAGGAGAATTACTACATAATAAATCAAACCCAGAAGATTCTACTATGATTCAAAGTGACAGTTAGTAAAAACTGGACATGAGAGTGATCTGGCTGTAACAAACAGCTGTCACCCCAATGACTGCCAGGGTTGATTCGGCTGATCTGGCTGGATAGGTTGGTAACCTTTTACTCCCTCCAGGTTCTATGTGTAACGTTCCAAAAGCTACATGCCTCATCTAAGAAAATGGTCTTAAGGACCATTTAGTAAAGGTTATGCAGGTAACTGCATTGCTCTGATAGAATCTCCAAACAAGTTCTCAAGACTGAAGCCAAGTGTTGGTTACATGAGGATCCATTATGTATGAATATGTAAATAGGTGTGTTTGTATAAAATCGTTTACTTGAAACAAGTATGCTTAAAATAAATTCAAAAAATATTGTTCTTTTTGGAAATTAAAAATAAAACCTGAAAAATAAAAATGTTTTTCAAGATCAACCAACCTCTTTGATCGTGACGATCCTGATGATCTGGATTTTTCTGAAGAGCTAGCTCCCTAAATTGAGAAATAGAAGCAAAGGTGAATAGCACTTTCAAAGTAAAATACCTACAAAATTAACTATTTCCATACACTAAGATATTTGATATAGTGATATAATCAAAATCTTCTAACTATAAGTGAAATATTTCTTTAAAAGAAACACCAGAAACTGATTGTAATTTGCTATCAGGTATCCTTTATTTAAGATTAACTTTGTTTTAGTTTTTATTAAATTGTCACTATTGAATTTTATGGGAGGGAACATACTAGTTAGCATGATCTTAGCCCTAATCAACAAAGATAAAACAAAGGAGTAAAAGTAATCATATTCCAACAAAAGAAGTTTTTAGATGTAAAAATTTATCATTTTCTCTATCCTAGTACATGGCACAAAGTACCTTCTACAACTTACTAATGACATTCTAAATTCTTCATCATTTTGCTAGTCCAGTAAATATAATATACTGGATTAAATTTGTACATTAGCTAAAACAAAATACCAAAATCATGGTGTAAGCATGGAGTCAGAAAAAGGAACTTAAAATGGGTTCACATAATAATGTTTAATGTTCTGAATATCCAAGTTTGAGAGATCACAGCCATGGGGTGAGTTTGACAACACTCACCTTAAGGAACACTGTTGCAATATAAAAACTGCAGAAACCTATCTGTTAGCAAATCTTCTGTAGTGTAATTACATTACTGAGGCAAGTCACAACACTAATTAAAAATAATAAACTATTTCTTTAAAAGGAAAACTAATCAAACTGAAATATCATAATACCTGGGTAAAAAAGCAAATTAAAATTATACCTGTATTGAATAAAAGCAATCAAATGACACATATTCTGGCTATAAGAAAATCTCTCTTAAGTGTTTCAAATTATTCTTACCTCCTCTTTGCTGTTTTCCATCATATCAGAATTGCTTCCAGAACTACAGATTTTATCTTAAAAGAAAAAAAATAAAAACTTTTTTTTTTATGCCTTCAAAACATTTATCAAACAGAACACTAATATCTACAGACATATGGACCCAGTTTCCAATTTCGGAAGTTCAGCAATATTGGTACTATACTACTAAAGTTAAAATATTCCAAAATGGGCCCTCCCTGTTGGCGCAGCGGGTTAAAGCACAGCACAAAGAAGCTTAAGCCACTTCCGCATGAGTTTGATTCCCCGCCTGCCCCAGAGGAGATCCACATGGCTAGACAGACTTCTCCTGACCCGCCCGCTGCTCCCCTCAGCGGTGTACTTTGTCGATCTGCCTGTTCTGTACCCCACTCTGTCTCTGGTGAATCCTCTCACCCTCCGCATCTTTGGCCTGTACCCCAGTTCTGTACAAATAAATAAATCTTTAAAAAAAAAATTCCAAAATGAGGCCCTCCCTGGTGGCGCAGCGGGTTAAAGCATAGCACTAAGAAGCTAAAGCCACTTATGCATGAGTTCAATTCCCGCCTGCCCCAGAGGTAACCACATGGTGTGGCAGACCTCTCTTGAGCAGCCCGCTGCTCCCCTCAGCAGTGTACTTCGTGGATCTGCCTGTTCTGCTCCCCACTCTGTCTCTGGTGAAGCCTCTCGCCGCCCCTGAGCCTCTGACCTGTGCCCCAGTTCTCTATGCACAAATAAATCTTTTAAAAAAGATATTCCAAAATGAGATACTCTATCCATAACAATTCACCAGGGACATATGGATAAATCTCTTAACCAAGGTACACCAAGGAAAATTTAAATTTTACCCAAAGAAAATTTCACTAGTTTGTCACTGACAAGAGGACTAAACCATGGATATTTTACTCTGTGTGTGGTAGTTCACTATGGGGACAGAATAAGGAGACAAAAAGTGAGTACCAAAAAGTGTGATGTTCAAACCAATCATCCAAACAACCTGTGCACTAAATTGGGGGGTGGGGAAGTTACGGGAACCAATATGGCAACACCTGTGCCTGGGAAATAAGGAGCATGAGACCAAGAATAGATAAAGAACAAAGGCTATAACAGAGGAATGAGAATAACAAACAGAAAGGCAGTTTCAGTATCTTACAAAACAGATCTAGGAAGAAAAAAGATTGTTACTAAAGAGACTGAAATTACTAAAACGAGAGATGGAAAAAGAACTAAAACAATCACGTATGGGAAGAAAATTAAGTAGACTTAAGTAGTAGGAAAATTTTATAAACTGAAGATATAAATGTACAAATTTACACAATGGAAGATAGAAAAATAAGATTTCAGAAAAATAAACTCTAGAAGACATACTCCACTAGAAGAATAAACATACGGTTGATGAATATCCCAGAACGTAAAAAGAGAAAACAGAAACACTATTCAATGAAATAGTGGAGCATATCCAAAATTAAGGAAACAAATATAGATGTCTAAGAAAGCAAAAGAACACCCAAGAGAGTAAATGCAAAATGACCTTCACTGAGACACATCATTGTTAAAGATCAAAAGTCAAATATAAAGAAAAATATATTAAAGGGTGCTAGAAAATGTAACATGTGAAGGCACATCATCATCCTTCCATCAGATTTCACAGCAGATACTCTAAAGACTAGGAGAGGAATAACATTTTTACAATTCTAAAAGACAAAAAAACCTGCCAGAACAAAAGGAAACCAAAGTACTGCAACGGTAGGAAATAAAAAAAAAATTAGAGTGGGCTGGCGAGAATGTAAACTAGTACATTATTAGAAAACTGTTTGGAGGTTTCTCAAACTGCTAAAAATGGAGCTTCCATATGAACCAGCAATGCCACTCCAAGGTATCTACCAAAAGACACAAAAACACTGGTTGAAAAAGATACCTGCACTTCCATTTTTTTTTTTGATGCTTTATTTACAATTGGAAAGACATGGAAACAACCCAAATGCCCAAAAGTGGATGACTGGATTAAAAAGATGTGGTACATATACACAATGGAATATTACTCAGCAACCAAAACAAAATAAACACAAGCCTGTTGCAGCAACATGGATGGAGCTGGAAAAGATCATGCTTGGTGAAATAAGCCAGAAAGAAAAGGAAAAATACTGAATGTTTTCACTCATAGCAGGAGTATAACGGATGAGGCAAGAAAATAACAATAATGAACAATTATATTCCAGAGACATTTATTTTAAAGATTTATTTATTTGTGCATATAGAACTGGGGTACAGGCCAGAGGTGCAGGGATGGTGAGAGGATTCACCAGAGACAGAGTAGGGAGCAGAAGAGGCCGACTGACAAAGTACACTGCTGAGGGGAGCAGCTGGTGGGTCAGGAGAGGTCTGTAGCGCCATGTGAATCACCTCCAGTACAGGCGGGGATCAACTCATGAGGAAATAGCTTTAGCTTCTTAGTGGTGTGATTTAACCCACTGTGCCACCAGGGAGGCCCTCCAAAGACATTCTATGGGGGTGGAGTGGGCAATGAGATCAAAAACAGTGGGAAGAAGGAAATACACTGGACTTCGGTGATTTGGTGATGGGAAGCCCCATGGGATTACAACTGAGATGGAAAAATGCACAAAATGATGGAAAAATAAACTATTGAAAGAAAAAAAAATAGTTATCAAACCCAAACCAAACAAAAAAGGATGTGGTACATATACACAATGGAATATTACTCAGCAACCAAAAAAAATAAACACATGCCTTTTGCAGCAAAATGGATAGAGCTTGAAGGGATCATGCTTAATGAAATAAGCCAGAAAGAAAAGGATGTAAAAATAAACTATTATTAAAAATAATAATTTTTTTAAATTAAAATGGAAATAAAACAGAAACCAAAAGATGACACAAAGATCTAAGGGCTATTTATTTGAAATGATAAAACTGGTAAGCCCTAACTAAGCTGAACTCACTAAGACAATATGTTAGATCTATTTTTAATATTTTAATATTTTAAGAAATTTCCACATGATTTCCCACAAGGGCTGGACCAGTCTACATTCCAATCAACAGTGTAAGAGGGTTCCTTTTTTTCCTCTATTTATCACCAACACTTGTTTGTTGTCTTTTGGATATGGGCAATTCTCATGAATATGAGATGGTATCTCACTGGGGCTTTGATTTTCATTTCCCTGATGATGATGAGCATTTTTTCATGTTCCTCTCAGGCATGTGAGGTGTGATCTTATGCCTCTGAATCACATACATACAATGTAGGAAACTAACATTATCTCAATTTAAAAAAGGAAGATAATAAACCCAACTAAAAAGAAGAAATTTAAAAAGTACAATTACAACAGATACCAGAGATATACAAAGGATTATAACAGACTATTAAGAATATCTGTATGTGGGCCCTCCCTGAAGGCACAATGAGTGAACGCATAGCACTTTGAAGCTACTACAGCCACTGCAATATCAGTTCGATCCCCAGGCAGCTTTTGACCCACATGATGTGGTGGACCTCTCCTAGCCCACCCACTGATCCCCTCAGTAGTATATTTCAGTACATTTGCCTATTCTGCTCCCCACTCTGTCTCTGGTGAATCCTCTCACCACCCCCCCCACACCTCTGGCCTGTACTCCAGTTCTGTATGCTTAAATTGAAATCTTAAAAAAAAAGTCCATATGCAAACAAATTAGGCAACCTAGAAGAAATTGGCAAATTTTTAGGTTCATATACTACCTTCCAAGATTAAACATGGATAAAAGACAGTTTGAACAGATTAATCACAAGCACTTAAGTCACACAAGAAATAAACTCTTCAAGAAAAAAAAGCCCTGAACCAGAGACTTCACTAGTAAATACTACCAAATGTTCAAAGAATATCTAATGCTGATCCTTCTCAAAGTTTACCAAAATAATAATAATAATAATAATAGTAGTAATAATGAAAAAACTGAAGAGGGATGCTCCCGACCACATTTTATAAAACTAACATTATCTTAATCACAAAACCAAATAAGGACAGCACTAAAAAAAAAAATCCTATAAAATAATTATCTCCAGGCCCTTCCTGGTTATGCAACTGATAAGGATGCAGCACTGCAAGCTAGCTGCAGCTGCTTCAGTGGGAGTTAGATCCCTGGATCATCTCTGGAGGTGATCCACATGGCATGGCAGACCTCTCTTGACCCACAGGATGCTCCCCTCAGCAGTGTACTTCCTCAATCTGTCTGTTTGGCTCCCTACTCTGTCTCTGGTAAATCCTCTCACCGACCCTGTATCTCTGTCTTGTACCCCATTTCTGTATGCATAGATAAATAGAAAAAAATCTTTTAAAAAATAGTATCTCTGATAACATAGATGCAATAAATATACTTAACAAAATCTTGGCAAATCAAGTAAAACAATATATTACAAGAATCATTCATTGGGGCCTCCCTGGTGACACAAGGTGTTAAGTCTCAGCACTATTAAGCTACCAGCAGCTACCACAGCCAATGCAGCATTATTAGTTCGATCCCAGTTCAGGGATCTAACCCAGATGGTGCAGCAGACCTCTCCTATCTCAACACGCTGCTCCCTTCATGGCAGTGTATTACTAAAAATCAAAAGCAAATTAAACCTAAAGGATTCAGGGGAGGGAATAGTAAAGATTATAGTAGAAATTAAAGAAATAGAAAAAGCTAGTTTTTGAAAAGATGAAAAAAAAAACCTGACAAATATTATACTAGAATGATCAACAACTCATTATAGTACTAAAACCTAAAATGAAAAAGATGTCACTAATTTCCTTCCAGAAGCAAAAAGACTTTTAGGAATATCATAAACAACTATATGACAAAAATTAAACCTACATTAAGTGGACAAGTCCATAAACAAACACAACCACTGAAACTGATTCAAGAAAAATTAGACAATGTCAGTAGACTTATAACTAGAATTGAACTGGTAGTTTAAAAACTACCCACAAAGAAAAGTGAAGGTCTAGATAAATTCCGGAGCAAATTATAGTAAACATTAAAAGAAAACTTTATTGGAAAAAAAACCCTAAATCAATACTTCACTAAT